GTATTCTTTTAGCTAATTGGTACAATACTTCAAGAAAATATAAAAGAGGATAAAGATAAAGAAAATTAAGGAGACTAATATAATTATTTATATAATAAAATGATAATTTGAAAATTTTCCTTCTCTTATAATTGTAATTTTTTTAATTGATTACATTGTTGCATGATTACATATGGTGCACGTTGTATACCTAGGGCATAGGAGACTAGTTATTTTTACTAAGCATATGGAGCTCATTAAATTCCACCAGTTACTTTCATATTAGGATATTCCGGAACAAGAGCGCACCAGTGAGGGACAAGTAAACAAGCCTGAGTTAGATTTGACATTTTGTACTTAAAGATATTGTCCCTTTTTTATAAACTTTATTATATTTTAGACCTCATGGTCTTGTAAAATATTTATGATATACTGCAAAGGATAGATTGTAATTTCTATTAAATAGTTAATTACATCATTGTATTTATGGGTTCCACTAGTTGATCATAGCTTTAGTATGTTTGTGCCCCGTTAATGGGATTTGGGGTGTTACATTAACAATTCACCCCTTTTTGTGATCATGTTTATCTTAAGTTGATACTAAGCAAGAAAGCCATCACACGAGTGTTTCTAAACCCACTAAATGATTAAGGACAAATTAGTTTTAGTTATAAAATTTTCTAGGCTTTAATTTTCTTTTGAGAGCAATAAGTTTTATGATACTAGGTATATATAAATGATTGTAAAGCTAGAGTTTTGTAGATTTACTTGGAAGAATAATTTCCTATTTGATTATTTTTTTTTTCATTCTAGTGCCGAATGTATGTTTTATTATATTTGTTTGTTTCTTGTTCCTTATTAAGATAAATTGCACTTGCCTTCATGAATTACCATTTGGTACTGGAGATAAAAAATTCTCTTTTTAGATAAATTTTTTTAACTATTGTTAAATTTCACGACTTCGAAATATTTGTACTATTTCTTTAAAACTTTTATCAATACTTAAAGCGGAAGAGATTGATCATTAAAGGGGAGAAAATTTGTTGTTGTTTTTCATTTTCTTTTTTTATTCTTTTATAAATATATATGATATTTCTCCTTTTACTAGGTGGTGGATCTTGCTGAAATAATTACTATAAAAGGAGAACCTAGTCCAATAATTTTTTAAAATCCTTAAAGAAATAGCACTATTTTATAATACTAAATTTAACATAAATAAGATTGATAGAAATCTAGTCCAAAATTTTTTAAAAACTTATAAAGAAATAGCACTATTTTGCAATACCAAATTTGACATAGATAACTTTTATACTTGAATTGGGAGGAGATTTACAGTTCTACTTGAATAACCCAAAAAAACTCCTCAATAATATAAAATTCCACTCGACCAACTATAAGTAAATAAAGTACTTCAAAACCCAAAATAAATTTTTTTCAATTAATTAACTATAGGTTTACATATTTGCTTATTTAAAACAATAAAAAAAAATATTCTTTGTGAAACTAAAAACATTCAAAGTCTTGTTTCAATGATGAGACATACAATGGGAGAGGAAAAGATCTTAATTAGATTTTTGAAAATCAAATGATCATATTTTAATTTGAGAATCTAAAAATAGTAAAAAAGTTACTTAATCTTTTCTTGTCTTCCTCTTTGATTTTATTGGTCTTATTTACTATGAGACAAATTATAAAAATGAATAAACAAAAGTACAAGAAATTATTATTAGTCTCATTTTAATTTTACCCTCTAAAATCTTTTCAAATATTAGTTTTATTTATTTATTTATTTATTTTTAGGTTTAATAGTAAAAATCTTGATTTTTAACTATTTTTTCAAATTAGTTCTTCATCTTTCAATTTCAACGATCAAGTTGTTTTCCTTTTATTTTTTCTAAATAAGTCATCCCTTAAGATTACTTGTTAAAATAAAAATATTATTGAATATATCATCGTCGCATGCTAGTAATATTATCAAAAAATAATAAAATAATTGTCATGTGGATAACATGCTTCATTTAAAACCACACTTGGTTACAAAATATTTAAATCAAACTTGTTGAAGATTATTTTTTCTAGCTCTACTTTTTAGGACTTCCAACTCATTACTTGTAACTATACTCAAATTTTTAGACATTTTGTAAATTTTTAATCCGCGTGATAGAAATTTTTAATTTAAAACTATGTTTACCATAACAAATAAGTAAACTTAAACACTAATTTGAAAGAAAAAAAAAAGAGGTAAGAGATTTGATTTTCATAATGACCAATTTTGTAATTAAGGCTTTATGTTTATTTGGATTATTTAATTTGAGTTGTCCATCTACTAATTTTTTTTGAAATATAGATCCTCTAATATTCATATTAATCATACTATATTACTTAACTAGTAGTCGACTCATAATTATTAGAACTATGTAAAATAAATTATAAATATTGAATATGAGAAATCTTGAGTCACTATAATATACCAAATAATGTTTCACCTAAATTCACATGCAAGTTAAAAATATAAATTTTGGATCTCACATTTGTGACATCCCAAGTATTAATTAAGGTAAAGGGTATCAGATACAGATTCAGAATAACGAGTGCATGATAAAATTTATGCAGTGGAATCAAACTGTAACAAATTTCTTACAAATATATATATAATGTTCCAAATACTTACATAAATTGAGACTAGAAGTGACAACAAAATACAAAACATAAGGATCACTTCTTTCACTATGCTATTGGATTCATCAGAGTACAAGAACAATTATGTACTCAGATTTATAGATTTATGGGATCCTCATAGACTTCCAAAGGTAGATATGCCTGTGGTTTCTCATTTTCTTCCTCATCTGGGGGGAGGGGGCAGAGAAAGAGTGAATTCCATATGCTTAGTAAGGAAAACAATATTAAATTAATATTGTAAGATTTCAAAAGTTTATTATTTTATCTTATCGTTTAACTTCCTCGTTTACCTATCTCACTATTATGAAAATTATTTATTTGTTAAGAAAATGATATGCTAACACAGAAAATCAAATATATATCATACCAGATAATAGAAAAAATAAAATAAATCATGAAATGCACAGATTTTTCGT